GTGTGTGTGTGTGTGTGTGTGTGTGTGTGTGCGCAGATGTGTGTATGTGTGTGTGTGTGGTCTGAACGAGTGCCTGAGGGAATCAGTATTGATAAGTGTTCCTAGGTTTTAAACCTTAATGTAACTTTTTAAAATTATATTTATGCATAAAAAAGTGTAATAAAATAACAGTAATAATAATAATTATACTGGGCCAACAAAGAGTCTGAGCATTAAAGAAGACTTACAGTAAATACTATACTTAATCATGACATATTTAATGAATGTGTTTGGTTTTTCAGAACAAACACACGTTTTATTGCCTGTAGCATTCACCGAATTTCAGAATCTTGCTGCTGCGACTTGCTTTTGAAACTTTCAGTCCGTCTGCATTTTAATCACAGCTGTGTTAGCATTAGCATCCGAATTTACACTGAAGCGGTGCTAATATCTTCACTGCTAATCATTAGCTTCAGGCCTCAGTGAGCCTCTTGATTGTGGCTCATTAACAGAAGTAAGGAGCAGCATAAAGAGTCAAGGGTGTGTGTGCGTGTGTGTGTGTGTGTGTGTGTGTGTGTGTGTGTGCTGCCTGTTGATTATATATACCGATTTAGTAACTAATAAATCCTGAGACACCAAGCTATGTGCTAATCACAGCCTCTGATTTTGGAGATTAATTGCTAGTTTTTTCTGCCTATCTCTTTAACACACACACACACACACACACACACACACACAGTTCCTTTCATTAGTTCATTAACACTGGAGCAATGAGACAAACGTACCTGATACATAAAGGAATGTTTATGGCCTCCAGTTTAGCATCATGCAAACTGCATGGCTAAGTCATCGTATCAAAACACACGGATTCTCTCAGTAACTCAGTAAAAAATACATTAAATATACAAATTAGGTAGTGGGCGTGTCACATGTAAATTAGCGGGTGGAGACACTGTTTAAATAAGGCTGTTCCATGCGTTTTACACATTTAGGTAGAAACTAGGCTTTAAGCTACCAGTACTTGTTAGCTATATTTGTACGGAGCCCTCCTGGTGACATCACGGTGAAAGTTAATTGAAACTGAGCTTTTCAGAACTGACTCGGTGTTAAAGAACAGTAGCGTAGAGCTCTTACCACTCATCATACACTATATTACCAAAAGTTTTGGGACGTCTGCCTTTACATAATCCGTAGGGTTTAATATGGAGTTGGCCCATCCTTTGCAGCTATAACAGCTTCAATTCTTCTGGGAAGCTTTCCACAAGGTTTACGAGTGTGTTTATGGGAATTTTTGACCATTCTTCTAGAAGCGTATTTGTGAGGTCAGGCACTGATGTTGGTCGAGAAGGCCTGGCTCGCAGTCTCCGCTCTAATTCATGCCAAAGGTGTTCTATCGGGTTGAGGTCAGGACTCAAGTTCCTCCACACAAACTCGCTCATCCATGTCTTTATGGACCTTGCTTTGGAAGAGGAAGGGGTCATCCCCAAACTGTTCCCACAAAGTTAGGAGCATGAAATTGTCCAAAATGTCTTGGTATGCTGAAGCATTAAGAGTTCCTTTCACTGGAGCTAAGGGGCCAAACCCACCCCCTGAAAAACAACCCCACACCATAATCCCCCCTCCACCAAACTTTACACTCGGCACAATGCAGTCAGACAAGTACCGCTCTCCTGGCAACCGCCAAACCCAGACTCGTCCATCGGATTGCCAGACAGAGAAGCGTGATTTGTCACTCCAGTGAACACGTCTCTACTGCTCTAGAGTCCAGTGGCGGCGCTTTACACCACTGCATCCGACGCTTTGCATTGCACTTGGTGATGTGTGGCTTGGATGCAGCTGCTCGGCCATGGAAACCCATTCCATGAAGCTCTCTACGCACTGTTCTTGAGCTAATCTGAAGGCCACATGAAGTTTGGAGGTCTGTAGCAACTGACTCTGCAGAAAGTTGGTGACTTCTGTGCACTGTGCGCCTCAGCATGCGCTGACCCCTCTGTGATTTTACGTCACCTACCACTTCATGGCTGAGTTGCTGTTGTTCCCAATTGCTTCCACTTTGTTACAATACCACTAACAGTTGACCGTGGAATATTTAGTAGTGAGGAAATTTCACGAATGGACTTATTGCACAGGTGGCAACCTCTCACGGTACCACGCTTGAATTCACTGAGCTCCTGAGAGCGACCCATTCTCTCACAAATGTCTGTAGAAGCAGTCTGCATGCCTAGGTGCTTGATTTTATACAGCTGTGGCCATGGAAGTGATTGGAGCACCTGAATTCAATGATTTGAAGGGGTGTCCCAAAACCTTTGGCAATATAGTGTATCTAGTTACTGTAAATGAAAGAACTAAGAAAGAACTATTTTGTAGATTGTACACTGTTTACATAAAAATCACTCGTTTTGAACTGAACAAATTATGCAAATTGAATTTTCTGTTCAAGAAAGAAGCTATAAATTGTTAATAATAAATTGTGCATGTAAACTTCTCTAGCGTCTACATCCCCGTATGTAACAGCACATCAGTTTGTAGACACACAGTGAACACACCTTATTAATACATGGCCACATTTATCTCGTTATCTCACCAGACTTACTTGGGCAGTGGTAGCTCAGTGGTTAAGATGTTGGACTAGTAATCAGAAGGTTGTGAGTTTAAATCCCAAGCTGCCATTGCTGGGTTCTTGAGCAAAGCCCTTAACTCTCAGCTGCTCAGTTGTATAAATGAGATGAATGTAAATCGTACTGGATAAGAGTGTCAGGCAAATGTCACACCTGGTGATAACATGCATCCTGTACTAACTGGCTGTATATGGTTGAATGACAATAAACTCCATTTCACTTGACTTGACTCCATGGACCACTTGTGATTGCGTTTCATTTCAGGTTTTAATCACATGGTTTTAATCTGCTAACAAAACTTAGAAATGAATGAGAGATGAGACGACAGTTAGGGCTATGAAAAGCAGCTGCTTTCGTCTCTGCTGTTTTATCATCTCCTTTATCCACTAGCCTAGCGGCATAGAGCTGTTCCGCTCAGCGCCGTTTCCAAACAGTCTCACAACTTTTACATATTTTCTGGCCAGGGCAATGATGCAGTCGAGCAGTTGGTCTTTTGTTGCTGTCCGGGACGCATCGAGACGCTTTTACGTTCACACTACAAATGTCATGTGGCCATATGTGTCCCATTTTGAGACACATTTGACCCTGATCACACGTGTACCTACAGCTGTCCACTTACAGTCCAATCCCCCAGGACACATGTTAATGCCAGGTGTGAACAGGGCCACAGCCATGACTTAATTATCTTGTTCCCTCATGTTAATAAGTCATAGGCAGGAAGTATTTTTTATTAAGTAGGCATGTCACCAGCAGGGGTCTGTAACATTCGCCCTATAGCTCTTGCTACATGTGTGGTATGGAAAACACTGGGTACATTTAATTTTTTTCATCAAACTATCACTTGTACTTGTAGGTTCTTGAGGTCCCACTTAATGTTCAAATGGAGTTAAAGATTTATTGCCCTTAAAAGTGCCCGCAAAAGTGCCCTAGTCCCCGCAGCAGAGCTGGTCGGTGGCAGTGATGAGTCACCACTGGAGCTCTGATGTCACCTTTCTGTGCACTTACTTAATACTGTGAGCAAGGAGAATGAGTCATCTTATAGACAACACACACACACACACACACACGCAAATGGGATTTATCCTTGCAAGGTGAGCATTCCCATGGCAACCGTCAACCTGTTCTAAAGCAGAAGTGTGTGTGTGTTTAAAAGTGCAAGAGGAGAAAAGAAACTTAAGAATTTGTCCAAACTCAAGTGTATTTCTGTATAGTATTTAGTCTCAGTCGTTTGAGTTCTAGATTATTGTTAGTCC